GGATCGCAACCCTCGGTGTTGCGCCCGCACCGCCCTCAATCAGTGAGCGGACTGGCCTCTATATGGGATCCGAACCCTTGGCGGGAGCGCCACCACTCTCCCAAGCACCACACTCTACTGAGTGCGCCACCGGGCCAGCCCTAGGTACTCCTTCTTTTAATTTCATACAGAATCTGGACACAGACTGGTTGGGGTTATGTCTTGGCTCACCTCTCATTAGCTGTGTGACTTTGGGCAAATTCTTTAATCTTTCTGTGCCTTGGATTTATCATCTGTGAAAGCAGGTCCCTTTCCGAATTACTGAAGGGATTAAATGAGTTAAGACACATAAAGGACCCAGAATGGTCCTAAGCATTAAAAGCAGGTTTCCCTCTAAATTGCACGATGACCAATCTACTGAGAGCACACAGGTCCTCCTTTCAGATTAAGGGTGTCCCTATGTAACCTGGTATTCAATCATAGATGGGTTTGACAGCTCTTAAAAACAGACCATCTAGGGCCGGCCCGGTGGCGCACTGGATAAGTGCACCGCTTGGGAAGTGCGGTGGCGCTCCCGCCCGAGTGTTCGGATCCCACATACAGACCGGTTCCCGCTCACTGGCTGAGTGAGGCGCGGGAGCAACACCGAGGGTTGCGATCCCGTTGCCGGACACGGAAAAAGACAAAAGACAAAAAAACAAAAAAAAAAACAGACCATCTAGCTAAGAAAAAAAAAGGAAAGGAGAGGGAAAGTGGCAAGAAAAACAGTGGGAGAAAGGGGCAATTCAGAAGCCCAAGTGACCATCACGAATTCCCATCTGTCAGCCCACATCTCCCCTGAGTGTAATGCCCAAAACAGAGCCCCTGATTTTCCCTTGCAAGCCAGCATCTTTCTTAGTCTTCCCATTCGCCCACCTGTAAAATACTAAGGTCAGCCTTAATGTTCCTTTTCCCTGCACACCAAATGCAATCCACTAGTGAGTCCTGTTGGCTTTAACATCAAAATTATATCCTGAGTCCCTCTTCTTAGCAAGCCACCATCATCTCTCACTGGAATGTCTGTAACAGCTGCCGCTACCTGCTTCTATTTCTGAGTCCTCAAAGTCTCCATGAGAATACTCCATACATCTGCTGAATTCTTTTTAAACATAAATATCGTTCCTTCCCTGCTTCAAACTCTCCAATGGGTTCTCATTTTCGTAGTTGTAATACAATCCAAATGTCTACCATGGCCATAATCCCCCAGATGATCTGCCCCATGCATACCCCTCTCCATCTTATTTATTAAGCTCTGTCCACACAGGTCTGAAGGAATCCAAGCTCACTCCCACATCAAGGCGTCAGCACATGCTGTGGCCCAGAATGTAGCCGGCTCATTCTCTACCTTCAGATCCCAGCTCCAATGTCACCTCCTCAAACAGGTTGTTCCCCTTCATCTGATCTCAAGCAGCTCCCTAACTTCATTTCTGTTCCCTTACTCAGCTTTGTACCCCCATCCCCTAATCCTGCTTTATTTTCTTCAGAGCACTTAGCACTTAAAACTATATGTTCACTCATTTTATTTGTGTTCTTCACTAAGACATGAGATGTAAGCAGGGACTATGTCTTGTTCTCTGTTAGCTACTCCTAGTAGCTAAAACGGCGCCAGGCGTGTACCAAATGGTTTAATGCACATTTGTTGACTTATGAGTAATTCAATGAATAATAATAATCAAAAGTGACCAACGGCGTCAGGGAAACGTTAGCATCCATCACAATAGTCTCCAAAGGGAGCAGCAAGGTGAAAGGCACTTTACACGCCTGGGTCTGTCACTTGGGAGGTGTGTGGTGGAAAAATGGAGGGCCTGAGCCCAGCTCACGGAGGCACAGTGATGCCCAGGATGCACTGCAGGTCTCAGAGCAGAGGTGCCATTCCACGGAGACGGTATTTAGTTATTCTAACAGCCAGAGTGAAAACCTGTCCCAAACTACTTCTGTTCACTATCACGTGGCTCATATAACTCTATGGTTGACAACATTTAAAAATATCTATTACTTTGTAAAATAAGCAAGAAAGATTTTATTACACACATTCTTCATACATACAGGAACATGACTACATAACTCAGCGGTTTCCATGAATCCATGTGGTTAATGGATAGTAAGGCAGGACTGAGTGCATCTTTCAGGCACACATTGAAAGTTGTTCCTACTGCCCTGAACTACTGCCTCAGAGCACACATGCCTCGTGGTAACGCCGCTTGCCAACTTCTGTTTCTGATAACATGGTGATTTGAATCTTTTGGGGTAACCGTGGTGGGTTTGATAGTGTCCTCTTGAAAATTCATGCCCACCTGGAACTTCAGAATGTGACCTTATTTGGAAATAAGATCTTTGTAGATGCAATCAAGTTGAGGCCATAATGGTTTAGGGTGTACCTTGTAAAAAGAGGGAAATGTAGACACAGAGGAGAATGTCAAGTGACAAGGGGGCAGAGATCGGAGTGATGCATCTAAAAGCCAAGGAACACCGAGGATTGCTGACAGCCACCCGAAGCTAGAAAGAGACATGGAAGGGTCCTCCCACAGAGGCTTATCATGGACGTTGGGTGTCTTGTCCCCCAAGAGCTTGTGTGGAAATCTGACCCCGAATGTGGCCGTGTTGAGAGCCTGTTGAGTCATAGGTGGTGGATCCCTCACACAAAGACGAATACCCTCCCTGGGGGTAGGTAGTGAGTGAGTTCTCGCTCTATTATTTCTCGCAAGAGCTGGGTGTTTAAAAGGACCCTGGCACCTCCGTCTCTCTTGCTTTGTCAACCATGCCCCACCATTTTCCACCATAAGGAGAAGCAGCCTGAGGCCTGCACCACATGCAGCTGTCCCAGAATCGTGAGACAAATAAACCTCTTTTATTTATGAATTACCTGTTTTCAGGTATTCTATTATAGCAACATAAAAATGGACGAAGGGGCCGGCCTGTGGCTCACTCGGTAGAGTGTGGTGCTGATAACACCAAGGCCACGGGTTCGGGTCCTATATAGGGATGGCCGGTTTGCTCACTGGCTGAGTGTGGTGCTGACAACACCAAGCCAAGGGTTGAGATCCCCTTACAGGTCATCTTTTTTAAATAAATAAATAAATAAATAAAAATGGACTAAGACGGCTTCAAAGGTACCACAATCCTGCTGACACCTCACTTTCAGACTTCGAGCTCCCAGAACTATTGTTTTAATCCACCCAGTTTGCAGTTATTTGGTATGGCAGTCTTAGAAAACTAACATGGTAGCCTTTTTATGATCTTGAACCCCTTTGAGACTGCGATGAACACTTTTCCCAGAAAAATGCAATTGTTCCCTTAGACAGAAAACACTGCACCCAATTTCTGAAGTTCCACACAGGGTCTTTGAATTCAGGTGAAAAGGTTCTACGTGACTAATATGGGTGGGCTGGAAAGGAGGGCTCTTGGGAGAAGGCAGCAGCAGGACTAGTGAGACTCTCCATAAAAGGCAAAGTTAGCAAGTATGAGCGGTGCGTGGCACAACAACGAGGGCCAAGGTAACGTGACAGGTGAAGGGGACAGTAAGACAGTAAGAACAGACAGCTTTGAGGAACTATACACAAAATAGGCCAGAGGCTTTGTTCCCATTGCCATTGCAGCAACAATATTTTCTAACTAAAGAAATAAGGCAAGAAAGAATCAGGTTACAGTTTTCTAAAAAATGTGAAATGGGGGTTGCCGGTTAGCTTAATAGGTTAGAGTGTGGTGTTGGTAATACCAAGGCCAAGGGTTCAAATCCCTGGGCCACCAGCTACCAAAATACAAAACAAAACAAACAGTAAAATGCTCTTACCCTAAAGTGGTTTAATTCATTTCCACTTTTGATGCTTTAAGTCTCCAACATCGAAAGTGACTGGATCCCCAGCTAGTGAGGCCCTGCAGAGGTCCCACAAGAGCAGAGGCTGAGACACAAAGGCAGAGGGATCCGGGAAAGTTAACCACTTCGCAGGTTCTCACTGTTCAGAAGAGAAGAGCTTTGATTAATCCTTTGTGGCTCTGTCACCCAGGGGAAGTGGGGTGACAAATCCGTGGGGGGCAAAGCAACAATGGAGGAACTAACCTGAGGGATGCCCCAGCCCTCCCGGGAAAGGAGAAAATGGAGAGTTGTAGCCTTGGGGGAAGCAAAGGGAAACTGCCTATTTGTTGACTAGCCATGCAGAGGCTTTCCATTGGGGGACAAGGAGTAAATGCTATCCCTCTGGTGCATCACAGCAATAAGAGATCTCTACACACTGGAAAGAAAGTGCCAGATTTTCAGAATTGAGCTGATTCTCAGTTTTTTGTTTTTTGGCGGCTCGCTTGTACGGTAAGACGATCTGAACCTTTGACTTTGGTGTTATAACACCGACCTCTAACCAAATGAGTTAACTGGCTAACCCGTGATTCTCAATCTTAAAGGAACAGTTTCCTTACCCAGTAGGACCCGGTTCCTCCACCCATCCTGGGTCAAAGGTACAGTCACGCTGCTGAAGGGTGTGGATCCCTGAAACAACAAGCAAATTCCTTCTTGCCAGTGTTCTCAGGATCTACGTTGGAGGTGAAGGGGGCCGTAACACTAGCAGCCTTGGGGAAGCTGGAAATCAATCTGTGAAAGGATTCGCATCCCTGGGTAGTTCAAGAAAACCATTGTATCAATAGCTTTCTATGTGCTTTATACTATAATGGATTCTGACAAATACACACACACACACACACACACACACAAAAGAGACACACTGTTTCTTGTCTTTGCACGTTTATAATTGTGGTAGAATTTATGTGTACATAGTTAGAAAATGTGTGCGTGCATGAGAAGTAACTGGGCAAGATCCAGCAGGTGCTTGGAACATACAAGAGCCAATACCAAAAAGAAAAATTAGAATGTGAGTTCATACAGTGAAGAATCAGGTGCAAATTATTAAAGAAATGTGAAAGCTGAACTTTCAAACATTTAACAAATATTCCCATGAACTTGGTTATCACCCAGTACAGCAGGAGAGCCAGGTATATACACAACCAAATGTAATAGTATGTGTGAAAGAGACGGATGTACTGGTTGCTAGGAGAACCGAAGGGGAGAGGGAGGACAACCAGGGAAGACCACAGAGAGAAGCCAATCACTGAGCTGGCATTGAATGAGAAGGTTCCCCACACAGGGCAAGGGAAGGATATCCAAAGCATGAAGGTGAGAAAGTCCTCACATGTTCAGGAAATGGCAGGCAGTCCAAGGCAAGGGTCGGGGTGTGGAGGGGTGAAGGGTCTAGAAAAGTGGAAGTCAGAATGTAAAAAGCTTTAAATGACTTGATAAACATGGTGCTTTCATCCCTTAGGCAAGGGAGCTGGTAGAGACAGATGTGCCTTGAGATGGTGGTGGGAAAGAAGGGGTAGAACTCCAACAGTGTCAGTGACAAGTTGAGAGAGGATCCTGCTCAAATAGAGGGACTAGATGCACAGCCAGAAATGGGCTTCATGAGAGAAGATCTGACGATGAATCAAAGCTGTTTCCTGCCTGGAAGAGAGACAGATGGTCCTGTCATCACAAAGAGAAGAAGCATTGGAAGAAGGTAACTGCCCATGTCAGCTAAGTAACTACTTTTGTATTGGGGGTCACAGAATTTAAGGTGACTGGAGGACAGGCAAGTGCAGATGTTGTGGAACACGCAAAAACGTGGAGTTCAGGAGAGTCAGAGAGCAGTAAGGCATGCAGGTGGCAGCTCAGCTGTTCTTATAACAAATAGGGGCTTACTCTATACAATGTACCCTCTGCTAGGTGCTGGTGGGGGCGACGGGGGGAGCCGACAGGTGGGCAAGGGAAAAACCAACCAGGAGATTACACCACAGTATTAACAGAAGACAGTAATTATCTCCTAACCCCGTGACTGAAAGGACACAAATCAAAACGTTAAGTGCCACCTGTTTGTGGGATTAAGGGTTACTTTAAATTTTTCGTGTTTTGTATATTTTCCAGGTTTGCTCAAATGAACATGAAGTACTTCTGTGAATTGGGGGCGGGCAGGAAGGTGGGACACACACACCAACCCTACCATTAGTATTAGGAATAAAAGAGGTTGCCTCTTAGAATAAATTTCCAACTTACCTGGGGCCCAGTTGTGCAGAGACTAGAATCCATTCCTCCTCCTGAGTCTTCCTTTTGGGGAAGGGCAATGTCCCAAAAAGGTGGTACTGGAGGAAGAGAAAGAAATCAATAAGACACAGACGTTTGCAGCCTATAGAGTCACCAATTCTCACTACGAAGAAAGGGTTCAAATGACACTAGGGCTGAACTGGGAGACCTGTAGTCGTATGTAAATTTTCCCATTCTCTCCTACCTCAGTTATTCCATCAGCTCACTCAGACGCACGAGGCACAACAGTGTAACAGACTCTCAAGTATGCAAGATCCACCACTCACCAGCAGTGTGCAAACCACGTAACCTCCCTAAGTCTCATTTTTCTCATCTGTAAAATGAGGATGATAATTTCCTGGAAGGTTGCTGAAGATTATACGGATATACAGATAAAGTAGTGGCACAATGCCTAGTATGTAAGTGTACAGTTGACAAATATTATCTATTACTTAGTTCTTTGGAGAAAGTGGCTCTGCAAATTTAAGACATTTGCTTCATCAAAAGAAGAGGTAATGACCAAGTAGTATTCATCCCAGGAATGTGAGGTTGGTTGGAGATACAATCAACTGATACACCAACTAAATAGAATAAAGAAAAAACCCAACATGATCATCTCAACAGACACACAAAAAAAGTCATTTTAGAAAATCTATCACCCTTTCATGATGAAAAACACTCAACAAACTAGAAATAAAAGGGGACTTTCTCAACCTGATAAAATGCACCGTTAACCTCAGACTTAATGGTGAAAGACTTAAAGCTTTTCCCCCTTATGATCAGGAACGAGACAAGATGTCTGCGCTCACCACTCCTATTCAATGTTATACTGGAGATTCTAGTCAGGGCAATTAGGCAAGAAAAAGAAAGGACAGTCATAAAGATTGCAAAGGAAGAAACAAAACTATATTTACAGATGACATGAATTTGTATGTAGAAAATCCTAAGGAATCCAGGAAAACCTATTACTGCTAATAAATAATTTAGCAAGATTTTAGGATACAAGATGAATACCAAAATACTATATCTCTATGTACTAGTAATGAACAATCCAAAAGTAAACTTAACAAAATAATTCCATTTATAATAGTATCAAAAAGTAAAATTTCGGGCCGGCCCGGTGGCACACTTGGTAGGGTGTGGCGCTTGGGAGCGCAGCAGCACCCCCGCCGAGGATTCGGATCCCATATAGAGACCGGTCCGCTCACTGGTTGAGCGCGGTGCGGGCGTGACACCGAGGGTTGCGATCCCGTTGCCGGTTGCGTTCCCGTTGCCGGTCGCGGTACGGGCGCGACACCGAGGGTTGCGATCCCGTTACTGGTCACGAAAAAAGACAAAAAGGAAAAAAAAAAAAAAGTAAAATTTCCAGGAATGAATTCAACAAATGAAGTGCAATCTTCATACATTTAAAACTATGAAACACTGCTAAAAGAAATTACAGATGACCTAAATAAATGGAAAGACTTCCAATGTTTATGGGTTGGAAGACTTAGTATTGCTGTTGTTGTTTTAAAAATGGTGCTGAGACAACTGTATATCCATATACAAAAGAATGAACGTGGACGCCTACCACACACCATATACGAAAACAATATCAAAATGGATCAAAGATCTAAAGTTAACAGCTCAAACTCTTAGAAGGAAACAAGAACAGATCTTTGTGACCTCGGGTTAGGCAATGATTTCCTAGATATGATAGCAAGAGTACAAGAAACATCAATAAAAAATTGTTAAGATGGATTTCATCAAAATTAAAAACTTTGTGTTTCAAAGGACCATGTCAAGAAAGTGAAATGTGGCTGGCTGGTCAGCTCACTTGGTTAGAGCATGCTGCTGATAATACCAAGGTCAGGGGTTCGGACCCCTGTATTGCTAGCCGCGAAAAAAAAACGTGGAAAGAAAACCACGGAATGACAGAAAATATTATATTGCAAATCATGTATGTTATCAGGGTCTACCATCTGGAATACATAAAGAATTCTTACGACTTGACATAAAGGACAAATACCTCAGTTAAAAATTGGGGAAAAGATTTGAATAGATATTTCTCCAAGGAAGATGGCCAATAAATACATGAAACGCAACATCATCAGTCATTAGGAAAAAGCAAATCAAAACCACAATGAGATACCACTTCATTCCTACTAAAATTAGTACAATAAAAAGGATGGAAAATACCAAATGCTGACAAGGATGTGGAGAGATTGGAGCCCTCACACACTGCTGGTGAGCATGTACAAAACTGGTGCAGCTACAGTGAAAAACAGTTCAGCAGTTCCTCAAAAAGTTAAACAAGAGTTATATGACACAGTCATTCCACTCCTAGGAATACACACGAGAAAAAATGCATATGTCCACACAAAATTCACTGAGGAATGGATAAACAAAATGCGATATATTCATACGACAAAATATCATTCACCCACAAAAATAAGGAAGTACTGATGCATGGTATTACATGGATGAACTTTGAAAACATTCTGCTAAGTGAAAGAACCCAGACACAAAAGGTCGCATATTTTATAGTGCACTGAAATGAAATGTCTTAGGCAAATACAGAGAGAAAAAGTAGATCAGTGGTTTCCAGGGACTTGTGTAGAAGGAGGTAATGGGAAGTGACTATTATGGGTATAGGGTTTCTTTTCTGGGTGAGGAAAATGTTCTGGAATTAAACAGTGATGATGTTGCACAACCTTGTGTGAATAATAAAATCCACTCAATTGGGCCGAGCCCATGGCGCACTCGGGAGAGTGCGGCGCTGGGAGCGCAGTAGCGCTCCCGCTGCAGGTTCAGATCCTATATAGGGATGACTGGTGGGCTCACAGCGCTCACTGACTGAGCGCAGTGCGGCCGGTCTCAAAAAAAGGACAAAAAAAAAAAAGATAAAATCCACTCAATTGTACACTTTAAAAGGGTGAATGTTATGGTATGTGAATTATATCTGAATAATAGTAAACAGACCTGGATACTAGTCTTAGTACAGACCTTCTGGTACTGAGTCATACCTAACCCCACTGTACCTTATTTTCTCTTTTGCAGTATGGGGAGGATGATAACCATCCGACCTG